AATGTAAAATTTAACTATTTGCGAATATATGACTAATTTTATCATTATTAATTTCTTATCTAGTTTACGAATAAATATTACCCATTCCGTCTATAACCTAATTTAATCCATTTATATATATATTTTTGCATCTGAAAAATAATACACCATTATAAATTTAAACTAAAACCAAAGTTATGGAGTTCCTTGCCAACTAATGCACTCCCAGCGACCTCCTAGGTCGCCATGCACGCCCGGCGACCAAGGAGGTCGCCATGCACTCGGGGCGACCAAGGATTCATGCATGGGGAGATCGTGCCATGCACTCGGGGCTCGGTTCATGCATGGGGCACTCGAGGCGACCAGGGAACGGTTCATGCATGGGACACTCGGGGCCATGGAGTCCCGGCAAGGTCGCGAGCAGGCGAGCATGCAGCAGGGCATGGATGGGCGTGCATGGGCGTGCTCCTTTGGCGAGATGGGCGTGCATGGGCATGGAGGTCGTTGGCTGGTAGGTCGCAGGGCATGCATGGCGACCTACCAGGTCGCTGGGCGTGCATGGCGACCTGGTAGGTCGCCGGGCGTGCATGGCGACCTACCCCCGGTACTGTAGAGGACACCACTTGAGCAATTAATCTGACGATCCCACTATTTCGTGAAAAAAAAAATTCAACGCACTATCAACGAGATTTTGCCTCCACAATCCATCCTTAGTTATTGTAAAGTTATAAATACCCCATATCTATTCTCACACTGCGCATGCCATTTGAAGGATCTTCTAGGGTTTTTCTTTCATTTGTTTTTTTGTAAAAATGGCAGCACGAGATGCGATTGTGTTCGAGGATTTCTTCCCTGCAATGGTGGAGAAGCTAGGCGCAGAAGGGTTCATGAAGGAGCTGTGCAATGGGTTTCGGTTGCTGATGGATGGGGAGAAAGGGGTGATCACCGTCGAGAGCTTGAAGAGGAACTTGGGGTTGCTTGGGTTGCAAGGTATGAGCGATGATGAACTGGTTTGCATGGTGAGGGAAGGGGATTTGAATGGAGATGGCGGGTTGGATGAGATGGAATTTTGTACTTTGATGTTTAGATTGAGTCCTGCTTTGATGAATAGCTCCAGAACATTGTTGGAAGAAGCTTTAGTTTGCGAAATGTAGAGTTTTTTCATCATTTGCATTAAAGATTGTACGTGTTCTTGTTTTAGGGCATTATTTGCCACCTTATTTGTCATCGATGAAATGATGGAATAAAAAACCTCTTTATTATTATTTTTTATCTTTAATTTCTCCTTTATATTCATCTTTAAATTTTAAAATATAAAGATTTTAAGTTCAAACAGATACTGTCTACAAAATATATATATAAATTATCAATAGGTTAAAAACCTTCCGAATATGTGCTAATCACCCGACCATCCAAAAATTTCAATTATTTTTCCTCATAATATTCTCTCTAAAATTTGAACTCTAGGTCTCATAATAATATTAATTTTAGTGGAATAAGTAATTCAATAATTAGATGAAGAAATCCCATTTAATCATGAGTTCATATAAAATTAATGAAAATATTAGATAAGCATTATTATTAATTTTTTTTATCAAAATAAGAAAAAAATAAATTAATGACGATTTTACTGAAATAAATTCGTTTAGCTACCAAAATAGGAAAGAAATAATAGGTTGGTGAGTATAAGCGTGTAGTTTATCCCAAGAAACTAATATAACGAAGTCTCGGTTTAGTCCCATCTTTAAATCCGACCCGGTTTCTGAATTTATCGACTCTCGTAAATTTCTAGGTCTGTTCTATTCCAAATAACAATTGAATTGAATCAGGATTAGGGTTTTCCCCATCCAATTCAGATTAACCCAAAATGCCACAGACACTCGAAGAACAACAACGATTTAGCATTCTTCACGTACGATGAGAAGAGGAAGCTAGGGTACGGGACTCAAAAGGAGAGATTGGGAAAAGACTCGATCAAGCCATTCGATGCTTGCTGCCTTTGCTTGAAGCCTTTCATCGATCCTATGTCTTGCCAAAAAGGTCATGTCTTTTGCAAAGAATGCATTCTTGAATGCCTTTTAGCCCAGAAAATGGACATCCAAAGGTACCGCTTTTATCCCAGAACCATCAGGTGTTTGTCTCAATGAATCATTGATTTGTTATTCTGCTCAATTTATTGTCTAGGATGCATGTTAATGGCTTTATTCAGCTCAAAACTATTTTATAGTTTGCAAATTCAATTAGTAAAAAGAGATACGTAGGAGAATTTTGATATTCCTTTGTTGAAGGGTTATTTCTCCAAAAAAAAAATATGCTTTAGGTCTAAGATCTTTAGAAGGTGATTTTTTGGGGGTATTCAGTGGATCATAAAGCTGGACTTGCATTTATAGTGGTGGTTGATGGTCCGTGGCCTGAAATTGTCTTTTGATAGAATTGAAATTGGAAGAAACAAAACTGAATGTGGAAGCAGAGAAGCTGGTTATGGTAGAGATTATAGACTCTTAGCTTCTAACTGACTTTTTTGTTTTATATTTAGAAATTTGAAGGATGCTTTCTGTTAGTGCGTGCTTGTGTATGTTGCCGTTAATTTACTCTAGCCATTTTCCAACTTACTGGTGATGATTTTGAGAATGACAGCAATCATGTACTTGAGATTAATGCCTTTCGGGGTTGTAGATCACCCTTGTATCTGTTTCATTTCATGATTCAACGATTTGATCACATCAGTAGCTTCTCTGTTAGTAATTACCCAATGGCCGGAGGTTAGGAGTTGAAAAGGCTGCGAGGGGCTAGTGGAGAATCTTTGCTACTCTTTCCTCCCTTTTCATCGGAGCGGAGTACGGTTTATATATGCCTTCTTTTTGAATTTTAATGTTAAGTAATTTTTTTTTGGGGGGGGTGGGGCAGGGGGTTCGGGGTGGATTCTTCTGCTTGGCAACAAAAGTTGGTAGCAGGGTTTCAAATCGCGGTCGCGTTTTTGGTTATTTCGGATTTACCGTGATTGCGTCCGTCGCGGGTAACTCGGACGACGGCGAAACCAATATATCGTGGCCGAAATCGCAGTCGCGGACCGTTTTTTAAAACCCTGGTTGGTAGTGTTGAATGTGAAAACAACCTTTCACATGATTAGAAAAATATTGAAGTAATAAGATTTGGTGCTAGTTAAGTGGATTTCTTGTACTTTATTTTCTTTGGAAAATTGAAGTATAAACTGCTGTGCTCGAAATCAGCTAAAAGATGCCATTTATGGGGTCAATAACAGAAAGCCTGTTTTCTTTCATCTGACAGGAAACTAGCTGCCTATGCTGCTCAGTAAAAACAAGAGAAGGAAGGGGAGGAGGAGAGGTTACTGTTGGAGAAAGCACGAGAGCTTGATGCATTTGATCAGCAAAACCATGGTGCCTTACCACAATACAATGACAAAAATCACAGCAGAGACAAGAACGGGTTCCATGGGGCAAACAGTGTGAAGGTCACTTCTTTTGAAGAGGAAGCACTCCGTACAATGAAAGCTTTTTGGCTTCCCTCCGCCACTCCAGAAGCACCTGCTAAAGTCGATGCTCCTTACACCAGTACAATCTGTCCGGAGGGCAAAGAAAAACTCAAACTGAAGATGAAAGTGAAAAGAAGAAATCTGATCTTGATAAAAGTTATATTTGTCCGAGCTGCAAGGTCACCCTGACTAACACATTATCACTGGTAGCCCTTAGCTCCTGTGGGCACGTCTTTTGCAAGAAATGTGCTGACAGGTTCGTGGCTGTCGAAAAACCTTGTTTGGTCTGTGACAAGCCATGCAAAGAGAGGAATTTGGTTACCTTGGAAAAAGGAGGGTCAGGCTTTGCTGGCCATGGGGGTCATCTTGAAGCCACTGATTTCAAGCATTTGGGAAGTGGTAGTGGCTTAGGGCTCGTGAGACCTGCAGCTAAGACATAAACTCAATCAAATTGTTCGAAACTTTCTCAGTCAAATTTAAATATTTGCAGGCTCAAATCAAATTGTTCCCATTGAGTTCTTGTCAAATAGTCATACACTCAATCAGGTGTACCCATTTCGAACTTCCTACTCTAAAGTTTTAACTTTCCTTTCGATGTTCGAAACAAAAGCCAGAGGGAGAATAAGCCTTCATGGCCGAACTACGATTACGTTTTCTCAGTCCAAATTGCTTGAAGGGAATGGTTCCATGTGAATTGTGGAAAACTTTACATTTCGTCGTTATCTTCCCCAGGTTAACTCTATGATTTGGGAAATTCTTATACACCATGTCTGGTGTTGATTTTAAGGAATATGTGTTCTTTGTAATGAGAGAACAAGTTGGAGGGACCTGTTCATTTGGGAAAACACACGTGTTTCATACATTGTCTTTTTCACCATGGCATAGTTTCCAGTTCACAGAAACTGACAACATAACAGTCAATAAACTCTATTCATAAATAATATAATCAAATAAAAAGTCATTGAATTTGCTACATTTCAAGTGTGATTTGGTGATGCAATCAACATCACGTACCTAACCCTTATGTCAGCCCCCTTTGACATGCAAAATGGTGGACCAGGCTGTGTTTTTGGCATAACCCTTTAAAATAAAGGGTAAAATATATCTCATACTACTTAATTTCTAGTAAGATTACAAATCAGTCACCAGATTTAAAAAATTACAAACAAATCACTCAGTTAATTGATTGTTACAAAAATATCATTTTAAGTGTGTAGTAAACGTTAATTTTTAATAATAATTGAGTAATCTGATTATAAAAAATAAAAAATTAAATGGCACAATTATTATATTCAATAAATAGAGTGACTCAGTTATAACTAAAGATTAACATCCATTATAAGTTTAACATAAGAGTGACGATTTTGTAACAATCAATTTAATGGTGCGTTTATATTTTTTAAAAACATTAGGTGACATTTGTAATATTACTAATAATTAGATCATTTTCCGTGTAATTTATCCTAACATAATATTGCTTTTTAAACCAAATCATGCTTTCAATAAAGTTTTCCTCAATAAGCACACCATTACCAATTTCATTTACCAAGCTCTTAAAAAGGCAATGATAAAGCTCAAAACTTTATGCTACTGACCATAATTTTGTACTGTATGCCTGATTTCCCTCTTGTTTTTCTCTGTCATGTAGACAACTCCAGCAGCCAAAATCTGAGGTTTTACTTTTGTTCACGGAGATGGCTAAGTCAGTTGAAAAGACTGTAGCTTTAAGAAAAGGTGCATGGAGTCCTGAAGAAGATCGGAAATTGACTGCTTATATTAAGAGATATGGGATTTGGAACTGGGCAGAGATGGCTAAACCAGCAGGTGGATTAAGCAAAGAGCAATACCCTTTTGTTTTAGTGATACAATTTTGTTGGTTTTTTTATGTGTTTTGTTTACTTTGTAGGATTACAAAGGTCAGGGAAGAGTTGCAGACTTCGTTGGGTGAATTACTTAAGGCCAGGAATTAAACATGGGAATTTCAGTAAGGAAGAAGAGCAAACAATAATTGATTTACATGAAAAGATTGGAAACAGGTAAGTTTCTGCAACTGGATGAATGGTCTTTTTGAGCTGAAATTTGTATTAATACCTTTGAGAATTAAAAGAAAGGTTTGGGATTTTAGGAAATTGAGAGATAGGATTAATACATGAACCAAGAAATCAAATTTCTTGTTCATACTTAGTAGTTTAGAGTTATAGGGATCTGGAAATTTTAACTCTGTGAAATTGTATGATTGTAAAATATTGTTGGATTTTCTTTTGTATCATGAAGGATATGGTAAATTTTGCAGATGGTCAGCAATTGCATCAGAATTGACCGGAAGAACTGATAATGAGATTAAAAACCATTGGCATGCTCACTTAAGAAAACGTTTTAAGTACGACCTGAATTTATTGCCGGAGGTTGAACCTTGCCAGCTATCCAAAGCTGAAACAGACCTAAATAGGTCATTCAGAATTGATCTCCCAGCACACAATGTTCCTAGACCATCAATTTTGGAAAGCTTAGGTTCAATTTCTACCGACAATTTTCCTTCATCTAGCTCAAATCCTCAGTTCGAAATCGAAGAAAAGCCAAACATCAAGGGATCCTTTGGTTCATTGGACAACTTCAAAGAATAATAGGCCATTGGTTCATTGTTTTCAGCAGCAACCAGCTCTCAGATGGTGTTTGTTCATGTATATACCAGGGTAATTCCTACAATGATGTTTGACACGACTAAATCTCTTTTTCGATCTCAAATTTTTAGCTGCTACACTCATTTGGTTGAATATTGAAGATATTGTAAATTGGTGTATACTTGGTATTAATGTATTATCAAGTGACAAAGAACTTTTATATTCTTTATGTAATGTTTCGAGTTTAAATCTTGACGTAAAAACTAACAAGTAACACTATTTTAAGCATTTTAAGCCATGCTCTATCGTTCATGTCAGCAGCTGCTCCCTTGGTTACATTTAGAAAGAAAGAAAACCCATTAAACAAAATGGATTATCTTCACCCTTCTACTTTCACTGCACAAACCAATCAATTTTCGACTGCGCTCGATGTCTTTCTTTTCGGACTCAGTTGCAATGGCTGAGGGAGTCTTCTTCAACTTCAAGTCTGAATCTTTTTGTGTTCTGAGTATTAATTGATGCATTCATTAAAAATAAAAATCTCAACAGCATCCTTGAGCATATAAACAAACTATATTTCAATTGTACTAGTTGATCCGAAACATAGTCGTATGCAGCGATAATGAATACGCTGCAGTCAACTAGTTGATCCAAACCAAATCATCAAAACAGATGCCAACTAGTCTCCAATGATGACTACTACCCAATACCAATAATTCGTGTTAAAAAGCAAAGCAGCAGGGTTACATTGGAACCAGAGAAAAAACTGGGCCCTGCAATGCCTACCAAGACTCGTTTCTATTTGGTCTATCGAGTATATCGAGAAACGGATAAGTTTTTCCAATTTTCCACAGAAATTTGCATACACATAGCACCATTGATTTATGTCATCATGGTATAAAACCATGATACAGTAGCAAGTCTATAGGATTGGAAATTTGGAATCATAGTGATGCAGATTTTAATGAGATTTTGCTAAGCAAAAGAAGGTACTGTCAAAAGAGCACAAAGCCGATCGGATTTCCTGTCCTACTGCAAATGACTGGCTGGTTTCTGCTTCATATTTTGATAGAGAATGAGTTTGATTGCATGGTGCTATACAATATTTATTATAAGCCTTACTAATATATGTAGGGTCAAGTGATAAGAAATTGGATGTCTCATAAGTAAGATCTTTGATTATCCATTTTCGATCGAGACTCAATGTGACACTCTCGAATACACCAAGAGATACGCAGCAACATTTTTCTGTGAATGATTCATATCAGACATTAATGCTGTGAGCATTTACTCAAAGCTGCTACTGCAATTGGCCATTGCTATAATTAACTGTTGCATAGTCAAATGCTGATTAGTGAAGAAACCTAAAAAAAAAAATGCGTTTTTTGAGAAAAAACCCAAGAGAGTGACTCCTTAATTGTCTACGGCTTGCTCTCATTGCACCATTTGGAAAGTTTCCGGGACCAAACAGGACTTTATATTTCCTTAAAATTACTGTATCTGTCACTTTCCCTTTCACTCTACAAATCCCAATAAACCCTTAACTCCCCCGACTCGTCTAACCCTTTCCAAAAAAACCAGCTTTCTCCCCTTTACATTCTACACCCAAATCCTTTTCCCTGATTTTTTTCTCTCTCGAGAATCCAATTATTTTCCGGGAAAGGATTTATTTTTTCCGGAAAATCAGACAAAGAGAGGGAATGGAGGAAGAAGGTGGTATACCGGACCATCTCCGGTGCAATCGATCCGACTGGAGACAATGGCGGTGCTCCTGATGGCAGTGTTCCTACATCATTGCCCACCCAGAGAGTTTGGTGGTTGTGGTGATGGCCTTCTTGATCTGAGATGTATTTTGCCGCTATGTTGGTTCAAAGAGCTGGAAGTAAGTGCTGAAGAAATAGTTGGCAGCTATGAATTGCCGGAAGCATTTGATACTTTTTCATGTTGCTCCCTATGTTCTTCGACGGATTATGAAGCCAAAGGCATGAAGCAATTGCAAGAGGCTTACGGGAGAGAGAATTCAAATGTTAACTTCCTATTTTACCCCACTAGCTTGAACATTCATGGTGATAACCTGGAACACTTCCAGAAGCATTGGGTTAAAGGCCATCCTGTAATAGTTCGGAATGTTCTTCGGACTACTGCTTTAAGTTGGGATCCAGTATTTTTGTTTTGCTCGTATCTTAAGAATAGTCTTGTCAGAGCGGAGAATGAAGAATCAAGTAAAGATACAGGTTGCTTGGACTGGTTCGAGGTTAGCTTTCTAAATTACATTGTTATATAAAATTGCAATTTTTGGAGGTGATAAACAATGTTGCCTTATGTATGCTGGCAGGTTGAAATTGGTATTAAGCAGTTATTTTTGGGATCATTAAGGGGGCTGGCACAATCTAGCATTTGTGATGAGAAGCTGAAACTGAAGGGCTGGCTTTCTTCTCATATGTTTCAAGAACAATTCCCAGATCATTATTCAAAACTCATTCAATCTTTACCACTACCGGAATACATGGATCCTGGAAGTGGTGTTTTGAACATTGCTGTTAGGTTGCCGCAAGAAATCACAAAGCCTGATCTGGGCCATGTGTCTCTATCTCATATTGCAGTGGTGAGGAACTTGTACAGGCCAATTCAATGAAAAAAATTATGTTACAGTTTATGTGATATGGTATGCCTATCTCTATCCTTCACTTTTATCTCGGTCAATTTATCTCATTGATAACTGGGCATGATGCACATTTATTCAAGTTACATCCACTCGTGTGTAAACTTGAAGATGTAATGTAATATTGTTGTGAAAACCCTTTAATTCGTACTTTCATTATCCTTATTATGAACATCATGGAAATGTTAAGTAAACTTTTCCATTTATTTGTCTCCTTTTCTCCCTCTTTCGATCACAGGTAAATGTTTTAGCACATGCTACAGATGCTCCGGTGTCCATGAAGCAACTTAATAAAATAAGAAAGTTATTGAAAAAGAAAAACTTTCAAGACCAAAAGGAGAAGGAGCTTGCTAAGAAAAATCTTGATCAAAAGATGGCTAATGAAGTGAAGGAAAAATCTCCATCACATGGTGAAAACATGGAAGGAGTAGGATTGAATGGTACTGTTTGTAAAGAAATGTGTTCTCATAATACGGTACCAAAAGTTTCTGGATCAACTTTTGCTGTGCATGAAGCACATGATAAGGAAGATGGCTCTGATTCTGATTCTGATTCTGATTCTGATTCGGACTGTAATTCAAATTATGAAGCTGTACTACCATGCAAGAACATTCACAGCTCAGAAGCATTAGAAGATCATACAATCTTTGGGAAAAGAACAGATTTGGCCAAGTCTTGCGGTGCAGAATGGGATGTCTTCCGCAGGCAGGATGTTCCGAAGCTTATGGGGTACCTTAAAAGGCACTCAAATGAGTTAGGTTACACATGTGGTGTTCACAAGCATGTAAGACCAGTCACGAGACTTGTAAATGTTCTAGCAGAACAGACACAACGCCGATTGTTTAACACTCCTACTGCAGGTGGTTAATCCAATCCTGGATCAGAATTTCTTTCTTGACACAAGTCATAAAAGAAGGCTGAAGGAGGAGTATGGTTAGTTTACTCAGTTTTATCATCTCTCGTAATAGTTAAGGATAAGCATTCTGAAATTTTTTTCCACCTGATACCTGCTTCTAGAAATAGAACCCTGGACTTTTGAACAACATGTTGGAGAAGCCATTATAATTCCAGCTGGTCGTCCATGCCAGATTAGGAACATTAAGGTATTGTATATCACTGCTACGTTAGTCATAATTGTTACAGAACTTACTGAATGATGTTATGTGCAAATTTTCATATGCTTCTTCAGTTGGGACTTTTACTCTCCATTTCATAAGGCTATAATGGTAATTTTCTTTACCCTGATAATCTGTAGTCTTGCGTTAATGTGGTTTTGGACTTCATTTCACCGGAAAATGTGACCGAGTGCATCCAGTTGATCAATGAACTCCGTCCACTTCCAGACGACCAAAAAGCCAAAGCAAAAAAGTTCGAGGTAAAATTTAAAATACAAGTCCAGTTAACAGTGTCCATTTTCTGTATTAAATTGAACAAAATTCTCTTTTTGCTGTAATCAGGTTGAGAAGATGGCCCTATATAGAATTGGTGCAGCAATAAAAGAAATCCGCGAGCTTACATGTCCAGAGTAAGTTGCTTTTGGAATTTTTAAGTCTTCTGTCTGCCGAAGCATGATGATATTTCATCAACTCTCACTAAAATTTACAGCTCATAAACATAATGTTTTATTCTTGAGGTTAGGTCCAGTGGTGAGCTCAGTGAGTAATTGAGGATTTAAGAACCAATGACATGTTTATACAGAGTGATTCTCTGTTTATGGCTGTTGTTGCTAGCAACTTCTGCTCTATGGATTTTCCATTGTTGAAGCATTGCTACCGGCAAATAGCATGTTGCATGCAGAGATTTTGATGCAATTGTCTATTCTACCTTTGACCCCTATTGTCCATGGAAGTTGAATTATCATATTAATCCAGGCCAGTTTACTGCAATTGACTTTGTAAATGTGTAATATTGATCCACCATGCAACTATACCAAATTTAGGATGGAAAATCATTCATACTATTTACCTTTGTTAATGAATATAATCACAGTTGATTTCTCCATTGAAGCATGCCGATTTGTCAATATCTGATGCTCCATTTTGGCAACCATTTCTTTTTAATGAAAGGTGATGTAAATATCAATGAAAGCCATGCAATTCACTTTAAACAATTAAGTGATCAGCCATGAAGCCCTTTTCATCACTTTATTTCTCCTTACATTTTTATGCAAGGAATTTAAAGAATAGTTCGACATTGTATTTCTCTCGTGTTGTCCTTCTCTTTCACCGTTTTCACCTGTGTCGCCGATGAGACTTGAGGGCTGAAGATAGCAATGAACAGAGAAAGTAACAAATAATTAGATAAGGATGCAATTTCACATTAGCTCAAAATGGCACTCGTGATGCTTTTCATGGTCTGTATATTCCAGGGTCTTGGCTCTGTCAAAATTGTTTTTCTAGAAACAGAAATACATGATCCTAAAGACCCCTTAGAGGATGTGGTCGGCTAACCGTACTTCAGATAATGTTCTATGGAGCCATCAGCCCATCGATAGTGTAGGAAAGAGATTTCGCCCAGTCGGCTTTGAGTAGCAATGTCTGTAGTGTGTGCATTACATTATATCCTGGATCAAGTTTCCTTTGTCAACCCTACAAATTTAAACAAATACCAACAATGTGACATTGAATTAAATCAACAATCTAAAAAGGCAACAATGTGACATTGAATTAAATCAACAATCTGTCTCTATTAAAGTCCTCTGCGCCAATGCTTACCGTCCACATGTCAATCCAAAAATACCAGGTACTATCAGGTGTGAGCGGGACAAAGCTAAGCTGACGGCTTGAGCAGCCCTGTTTATGTGTGGGAAAGTTCGACCACTCGCAGAACATTTCCGTGCAAGCCTTTTCCAAGCAACTTGTGTAAGATGAGTTACTGCACTACTTACAGAAAGGAAGGAATGGTTCCTGGCAAAATAGCCTCTACCAAACCCTTCCTTCCTATTCTGCAATGAGAGTGGAACATTTCCTCGACCGTTGAACCTATAATGTATGCACAGTCTATATTTCGGCAAAGGCGATACAACAGTAACCACTGTTGCATACTTTCTAAATACTGATTGGTTCGACCTCTGGTTCGAAATAGCAGATTCTGTAGATTTCCTAATATTTGCAAATGTCAAAAGTCTGCATTCCAATTTCCAAAAATTCATTCATCACTTAACATGCAAATTATCAAAACCTTAGAATCAGTTCTGATGTTGCACAAAAAGGTAAAGTATTAAGAACCCAATTCTCAATTTCACTCAACATTACAGCAAGAAGGTTACTTTCTTAACTTGCTCCATTCAACTCAACATATCAATTCACTTAAAAATGTTTAATCCAAAATGTAACAATTCATTAAAACACAATCTCCAAGAGAAGCAAGTACCCCAATAAACTTAAACCCAGAAAAAAAAGATTTAAATAAAGGACATAGAAGAGGAACCTGGACATGGCGATACCGAGAGAGGGAGTGCAAAAGAGAGGAGCTTTGAAGAGGCTAACGAGTGCAAGCAGTTGAAACAAGCAGCAGCTGGAGACGACGTTGTTGGATGCATTTTCTCATGGATGATTCTCTGCTGATTAAAATCAAAATTCCGATGTGTTTTTTGAGCCCAACTTCATTCTCACCTAGTGGCGGGGGAGGAAGAACAAGAAGAAGAAGAAAGAAGAGCAAAGAGATCACCGGCCTGCCTTAATGGGCCTAACATTGGTGAAAACACCGACACGGTATAATGGGCAAATTTGATTAACTCTAATGGGCTTCATTCATGTAATTGCCTTGAAGTTAAAGATTTTTATGATCGATTTTCTTTTATCAGAACGCATAATATAAAGCGGAAGTCTTTATACAAATTATATAAAATATCAAATGAATCTTTAAATTTAAATAATGACCCTTAAACATGTATATTCTTTCTATTTCATCCTATCTTCAATCATAGAACATAATAACAGACTAAACCACGTTGACGATGGAAAAGGCTTTGATGGACTTTATTTTATTGACTTCAATTATTCTTCTAAACTTTTTTAAACTAACCCAATTTTACACTGATTTTATATGACTTCATTTAGTATTATGATTTGTGCATTTTGGGATCAAAATTATTTTCAATTAAAATAATTAAAATATTTTAACTTCTTACGGTTCATCAAACCAAAGAAGAAAAATGATGCTTTATCATTTGGAGGTCATTTTCCAAGTCAAAAGTCTACCACCCAAAACTAATTATTTACACACATAAATACAACACAAAAGTCTACTGTCTTTGCTCACAATTCACATGACAAACGTCTTCTTATCCTCACGTCTATATCCCAACGTATAATATTAATCGAGTACAAACACGTACATATAAGAACGAATACAAGATTTTTTTTGTTAATAAGTGAATTTATAAATTTTAAGGGAAGACAAACGTATAAAATTTTAGAGTGAAAAAAATATATTTTCAATCAAAAATATAAAAATATCTATAAATTTAAATTTTTAGGAGGTCTATTACCCCTCGTCCCCACCTCAATCCATCCTGCGTACATTATAATATATGTGTGTGAAATCAAAATCTTAGTCCAATTTATAACCTAATGTATTAATAACAATCGAATAAGATATATACTATAGTCTTCAACTATTAATAACATACCAAAGAGGGATAGGTCGTTCACACACAAATATTTACGTAATTGAGAAGGAAAAAAAATAGAGAATGGCACAGAATAGAATCTAAAGCTTCATTACCATACGTCAACAAATTACTAAAGCTTGAGGTTGTTACCTTTTAACCTCCACAAACATTCTAGAAATCGTTATTCAAAGTTTATAATCTCATTTTTATTCTGATTTGATCCTAAATTTTATTAATTTTATATAAATTTATAAGATTATCGATATATAAAATATATAACTTTATCTCGTCGGTAATAGAAGCCTACGAAACCTTTTCTCTTATATGGACTTTTTCATTTCGTATTTCGTTCTCTAACCCCAAATTTCTCCACATTTTACTTACAAGATTATTAGAAAACCAACACATGAAGGAAAGTCCAAAGGTATATTAAGACAGGAGCACACTTTTCGAGTGTAATGTTATGTCTTTTTTTTCTTTTTTTTTTCTTTTTCAAAATGTTTGAACTTACAAAATTTCTTTGGACGGCCGATGAATGGGAGAGGGGTGTCGTTTTCTCGGGCACTGGTCGGTTCATAGTCAAAGAGGGAACCTTAGCTTTACAAAATCAGAGTTTTTCTACATTAGTTGACACGTTTAAGATAAGCCCTAATAATCTCATTCATTATACGAATGCAACGTGAGGAAGACAAGAGATAAAAAAGAGTTAAATTCTTCTACTAATCGCCAGAATATGTGAAAGATTCAGATTAGTCTCTATATTAAAATTTTGTCATTTTTTTATCTCCTTCTACTATCAGTCATTGCATAAGTTGTAGATTTGTTTGGTTTACATTCCCCGATTTGATCGTCGTAACTTCCTATATTGCTTGAGCCATAATTGAATTTTAAAATTTGAATATTACAAACGCTAAAACTTATCAAGCTAAAATACATGAGCTCAATTCACAACTTATACATAAAAAGGGACTAATGATTGAATTTGACCCATAAAACAATACCAAATGTTGACGTATGAAATACCTAAAGCTTACATGGGGTTTGACATAGAGAACTGGTAACAGGGGAAAAGAAGCTTCGGATATAGGGAAGTTGGTCTACTTATTAATGGCGATTATATTATATATTTTTTCATGAACATTTTTTCTTCTTTGGTGGTTCGATTAATTTCTTGTTTACGTGCACGGTTGAAAACTGTTCACAGTTTTCCCATGCATCTGTTTACTTTTACCTTTTCTTTTTATAAATATCAAAACTTGGCTATCTGTTCAGTATTAAATGCTATAACGAATACCTTTACAAATCGTCGAACTATCATGAGCATATCTTTTAACCGATCGATAGATTTTGCATATGTACACGAATCAAGTTATCTTAGAAGTTAAATAGATGATTGTTATATTTAAAAGTCTTAAGTTCGAACACCGGTAACTGTATGGTATCTAAATATTCATTATCAAATGGTTGAAAGTCTTTAAAATAGTCACTATCTCTTAATTACTTTAAATTATTTAAAAAAATTGTAAATGTAATAATAATATTCAAATATAATATAAATAAATAATATTTATCGTGATTTGATTATAGTTCTCTATAATAATTAAACCCTTTTGTAATTATAAACCTGTAATACTCAAGATGACCATCCATGCACGAGTTCAACGTGGCAAAAACAAATGCTCAAATAGAAGTGTTAGTTTTCTCTCTTACCCAATAGTCGTACATAAGACGAAGAACAGCATGTACTAGGTAAACTTGTTCACCACGTATATTAGGGTTTTAACCCCCAATGTAATGTCAATTAAAACTTGTTATTGTTGAAACAATTTTGGAGCAGCGTTTTCTTTTTCATGTTATGGTTTCTCTTTTAATCACTGGTGTTGTTTCTCTATATGAGACGTTCAAAGCGTTATGTTAATCTTACTAGTTTCGTGAACAATGAATTTGGGAATATGCGAACTCGGTTCAGCTGCCATTGTCCTCAATAAAGTTATTGTCAGATTAGAGAATACGTTAGAAAATCTAATGATGTTTCAAAATCATATCAGAGAGTCCGTAAGAGGCTTCTGTTGGCTCGATTAATACTCTATTTGACAATTGGTTACTTCCCATTGTGGTTAATGAAAAGACTTTTGTTTAAGTCGTAGCTTCACTATTTGATTCTCACCAAAGAAATACCCATGTTGTCGTGTTCTATTCCTCATGCAAGGGTTCAATGTTAAAAATATTATGTAGGGTTGCCATTAACTTGATCGTACAAGGACTATGGCTTAGTGATAGCTGTGTTTAGGAGATTCTTTATTGTTGATTAGATCCTATGTCTTTAATCTTAAGCGAGTGATTAATAATGTAGTGATTTTATTGGTAATGTTTTTGATTGTGTGTAATTATGTGTATTTTTTTTTCCATACAAGATTAGAAAGATTTTTAATGAGACATACAAGTAGGTTTAAATGTGTGATTTAAATCTTTTAAAAAAAATCATATTATCGAACGGGAAAAACAATTATTGATTAAGAATGAGTGATTTTTTTTTTTTGCACGAAGACAAAAGAGTAAGTAACTATATATTAATGATATGAAAAGTCAAAGCTAGGTTTGTTCTCAAAATCTGGATAAAGAGGACTGGTACTGTAGTTACCCGGTTAAGACTTAAGACTGTAAAGGGCACAAAAATGTCAAAACCCCATGCATGATTGAGTCCACGTGTCCCTCAAATGCTGACGTGATCAAACATTAGGGTCTCTCCTACGACAGATAATAAAAAGACACAACAAGAGCCCCACCATGCCTTTTAATTGGTGGCCCCCCACGCCAATGGTCGACACGTGCCCTTCTATTTTCATATATTTTTTTAGGTCAAACGCCGCCATTATCATAATCCCCATGCAAAATCACTTACTTCTCTAATCACACTACCTGAAAAGACAGTAGCCCCTCACAGGTGGCACGTACACGTGTCATATTCACGATCTCCGACGTCATCATGGCCTGAAAGCCCGCCGATCTTTGAATCCCCCTGTCGTTATCTTTGAAACCAAAAGCTTTCTCATTTTTATCAGATATATTACTAATGTTCAATTATTATGGTTTATTATGTCATTATTTATATAAATATATAAGGTAAACGAATTGAGTGTCTTTAATAGTTGTAAGGATAATTGTTGTTTTTTAAAAGTTTGACTTTAAAAATAATTTTTATAAAGATATTTGATTGTTAATTGTTTGATGATTAGTAGTAATTATTATATTATAATCATTCTAATAAATAAATAAATATGTATACATAATTAGAATAAATATAAATAATAAGACGACTAATATAAATAAGATAATGATTACATAAAATAATGGACATATCAATAATAGAAACTTTTCAATATAATAAAAGGATTTTACAAGAAAATGTGGGAGAGAAAGGATCTTTACTTCCCAATACAGAAATCTTAAAGAAAATTGCAACAAATTAAATAATATCAACAACCCCACATTGAACCTGATCAAAAATATCCGGGATCTGATCAAACTTGTAAATATTACTGCTATAGCTTTCTCTTTCGTCTTCGGTGCTGCTACTGTTGAAGTACATTGAGTTCGAATTCAATGGCGTCGGACTCGAAGAAGGCGTCGATAGAACCGACACAAAGCTGAAGCTCGGATCGGAGACGTAATAGTTGTTGTAGTTTGCCGGTAACGGCACGTAATCGTCAGTCAAATCTTGCTGCCAGCCGCTGAAGTCTGCAACTTTTGATTGGAACTGATCTACGTTAAGGTTCATCATCAACTGCGCTTCGTTATTTGAAAATGGAATACTAGTACAAGGAGGAGTATTCAACGAGGTGCAAGCTGGTGGGATTCCTTGGACTTGCGTCAATGGCGGATCATATTTGTTTTGGACTTGGTTTTCTTCAATATCTTGAAAAACAAAATCTGGGCTTTGGTTTTGGTTTTCACGTTGAGATGGCATGAGAGAACTGGCTAGCCTTAGAATCTCAGGGTTAACTAAGGATTGAGCTCCGAGTAACCTCGACATGTTCATCTGAGACTGGCTGTAAAGAGAAGAACTTAAGATCCAGGAAAGGTCAAGAAGATCGAGCCGAGGACTATGTGTCACCGGATCGATCCCCATTCGGAGAAGCCTCTTCCGAATGTGTGTGTTCCAGTAGTTCTTTATTTCGTTGTCTGTTCTTCCAGGCAACCGAGCAGCTATGGCAGACCACCTACATACAGACAACAGAGCATCAGAAAAAAAAGAGAAAGTAAACAAATACCAAACACCAGTTATGTCTGTCAAATGGTAAGAAAACTCACTTGTTGCCCAGTACACTGTGGAGCTGAATAATCGTTTCTTCCTCCTCCAAAGAAAACCTCCCTCTCTTGATATCAGGTCTCAAGTAATTAGTCCATCGAAGACGGCAACTCTTTCCACACCGTTGAAGCCCTATAGTTTTAGCAATTGATCAGAAAGGTCCCTTTAACCACAAGTATAACACATTACAAAAGCCTACCTGCATTCTTCGGCAATGTTCTCCAATTGCCATAGCCGTGTTTTTGGATATAATCGATCAATTTCTGATCTTCTTCGGGTGTCCATGGCCCTTTTTTGAGCCCAGTTTTCTCACAGCAAGGTGATCTTCCCATGGTGTTAACACAGTTTAACAAAATTAGATTTGGATGGAAAGATGATTGAAGGAGAAATGATGCGCAGCAAAGGGTTGTAGGGTCCGTATTGGGACTTGCTTGTATAAATAAGCGAGGTGAAAGAAGCCGGAATCCAAGTCAAAAATATTGGGTACCGTCCTTTGTTTATCACTGTGGCTACGTGTCCTCCTTTCTCATAAAAGGGATATCTCGGTACTGGGCCTTTTTCTATACTCAAAGTTGGGATTTAGTCCCTATATTTTAATTTGGTGTAAACATAAGGGTAAACCACAAAAATAGTCATTGAATATTTAGGAAGCTTTCACATCGAAATCAAAAAACTTTTAATGAAGCCATTATTGTTGAGAAAATTCCCATTTTGGTCATTGACAAGACATGGTAAAAAATGTTTAAAAAAGCTTGACAATCATAGCTTCTTTCACTATTGTTTCTTTTATCGTTAAGTGGTCTCTTCGTTTGAAAAGATCATCAAACTATTATTCTTCTTCTCTTTTTTTCTTTCCGTTCAAACTAGTAAAAAATAATTTTCAATCTCCTCAAATAACAATTGAAACAAAAAATTAAAACTTTTCGATTCACAATCAACTGAAGGATCAACTTGAAATTGAACTATATTAATCTTTTGTCCAAACGAAAACCTTCTCACTACTGAGACTGATTGTTCCATTCATCGGAACCTTAGAATTGATTGTGATGTAAATTTAAATTTGGTGATCAAAGTGAAAGCGCCCTATAAAAATGCATTGACCATTGGTATGGATAAACAAAACTTAGTTTGAGAAGGGACCAAAGCCAGAATTTGACCAAGGAAACTGTGAAGTCTGTCTCTTTCTTTTGGGATTAGATTTCGTCAAACAAAATCTAAAAATCTTCCATTTTTAATTACCATTCCCTTAATAAATCTCAATTAGGGAAGATAATCCATTGTAATTAATCTTTTGCTCCATTGTTTTACCTGGCGTAGGGAGAGTGTCCCACTCCTAACTTTCTGGAACCACATTAGTTGTCACCAACCTACACAGCCACGTGTCCACCCTCTTTATTTTGTTTTTGCAATTTTCACAAAGATTTTGGCTTCACAAGACTTAGATTTAAGTTAAAGCTAAGAATCATCTGATTACAATGACTGTTTTGCCCATGAAAGCTGATTTGCTGGACCAATTCTCTCCTCACTACATGAGGGTAATCAAGTCGTTTTCCTTTTAAAGTATTTTTTATTACTTAATTAATTGTTTTTTTATTATTTAAATAGTAAATGCTTGTGGAAGCATTGAATTTGAGGACGACAATAATGGAGTTTGGTTGTTTGCCGAAATATATGTGTGTGCACATTTATTATATGCATAGAGAGACCCTCCAAAAGAGTTCTCCTCCAATGAATTTCAAGATAAGATTTTAGATTTTCTTGGTTGAATTTTAATATAATTTTTATTTAATTATTAGTATTAATTTATTAATTGGTTGTTCTAGATCCAGTATTGTAGATGTTTACTATCAAACCGATCCTCTTTCACATTTTATTTTAATTTTAGTTTGATTATCAATATTATGTAAATTCGACGAATTAATTTAAAGATTTTTTTTGATTCTTATGATATTTTTATTATGTGTATAATATATTTTATAAAGTATAGTTAATTAAGTGTTATGAATTGGAATTTTTGAAGGTATACTAAAGGGGAAGGGCCTTTGCCCCCTACCTCCAATATGGTAGAAGTGGTTTAAGCCCTTCAAAAATATAAAATTATAATCTACTGCGTTAATGAAATTATATTTTAGCCCTTTTAAATTGTAAATTTTCAAAACCATAGGGTCTTGGTCCTATTAAAAGTTGAGTTTTGGGCACATTAAAAATACAATATGTATGGATAACAATAAAGTTTTTGCTCCAATCATATTAGGGTCAGCTTAATTATGATTTTTTCCTTTTGTCTAATTTTCTCCCCTACTGCCCTTGAGTGGGCCATAAATTCTTAGTTTTGAAAATCGGATCGGATCGGCCGGTTCAACCGGTTCAACCGGGAATCGTTGTCTAGTCCGGTTCAATTTACACCGGTTGAACCGCTACTAGTGAACCGGTCGGAACCGCTGAATCGTTCACACCGGACCGGCTAAAAACTGGAAAAAACTACCAATTTTTTTTTAAAAAAAATTAAACCAAACGACGTCGTTTGTTAAACGAGCTAAGTCGAACTCGAGTATTACTAAGCTCGACTCGAACTTGAAAACTTTAAAAGTAAGCTCAACTCGACTCAAACTCACGAGCTAAAAATTATCAAGTTCAACTCGAACTCAAAATATAATATTAAAAATTGAACTCGAAAAGGCTTAAACTAAAAAAAATTTAGAAGCTTGATTGAAGCCTAAAATTCGAGCTTGATTAAAGTGAAAGAATAGTTCACTCAATACTCACCAAAAGGCTCCATGATTTTGAATGCCAAATTACCTATATTATTTATAGAAGCTAGTTGGGACGCTCTTCTATGTTTCTTAGCCATGTGGGATTGTTTTGTTCTCATATTTGTACTCTTTAGACTTTTGGGATGCTCTTTTATATTTCTTAGCCATATGAGATTGGTTTTTAAAAAAATTAAACCAAACAATATCATTTTGTTTTGATTTTTTTAGCCCCAAATTTATTTTTTAATTATAGTTATATAATTATATTTATTATTTAATATGTTTTACCTTAAATATTATGTTGTAGTTAATTTGAATCATTTTATTTCACTTGATTTTATGGTTTTTAACTTATATATGTTATGATTTGCTTTGAACATGACTTGTGATATAAAAAATTATTTTTTATTAAATATTTTTGATATTTTATTTAATTTTTTAAATAATTATGATGTCGTCCGGTTCTTCCGACCAATCAGACCGGTTCGATCGATTGAACCAATAAACCGATAGCATGACCGGTTCGCTAACCGATCCGGTTCTGAAAACCATGGTTGTAAAGCTATGGAAATAAGTCTTTTTCATTGAATTTCTCTTAATGAGAACGTGATCCTCAAGATAAATAATAAAAATAAAAATAAGAAAAGGTCACTATATGAATAATGATAGATCAAAAAGGTGTTTGAAACCATCGCATTCTCTAAAAATTTTAACTTTTATAATATTAAATATTTTTTACTCATTTAAATTTGAATTAAATATTATATTTCTTCGTTCATTATTTGATCCGACCTAAGTTTAGAAGAAATTCACTTAACGTGAAATCCGACTAATTTCGGGTAAGAACATATTGAATGAGTTATAATAAAAATAAATTATCTTTAAAATATTTAAGTCTAGATAATTATATAGTATATATACATTATCAATAGACTAAAAAAACTAAATGAAATCTATAAAATTAGATTCAACGGATTCAATGATCAAACCTTTAATTTTGATTTTATAATTTTTAGTAGTTTATAATGATTCATTAAATTATCATTTTACCTTGATAGTTCAATTAATTGGTTCAATCCAGTTTAGTCCAGTTTTATTTTTAAACAAAATATACTAAAGGTTATTCAATTATATAAAAATGAGTTTATTGATCAACGATCTTTTAAATAATATAAAATGATCATTAAACTTTCAGAACAGTCCACTATAACTTTAAATAACAATAAATTTTGATAAGTTCAAAGACCATTTATAATGATTTGATAAGTTTAATTTTTTTTAACTATTTGGTAGGTTTTAATGATCATATTGTAATCGTAGAAGAAGTTTAATGAATGTTTTACAACATTTATAAATTCATTAGCAACAAACATATCTTTAGTTAAGCGATCTCTATCATACTTTATGCTTTAATTATTTGTGGTAAGCTTTTGCTTCTCTCTATTATTAATCCCATAATCAAACAATTAATGAAATAGAAGTCCCAACAAACGATATAATCTGGAACTAAATTCCTCTTGTTTAAGTTTATAATAACGAGTAGCAGAAAAAAATAATTTGTTATCGTCTTTCTAAGGGTAAACTAAGCAAATGGTCATTAATATTTGGGTAAGTATTCGTTTTTATCACTGATGTTTTAAAAGTCACAAATCGGTCACTAATATTACCGTTTGTTATAAAATAGTGACTCGACGTTAACAATTGTTACTGTGGGTGACGGAAAGTTGATGTGACACTTTAATATAATTTTTGACATCATTTGAACATATTAGACCATTTTGACTGGCCATTCTTCTTCTTCTTTAACTAAACCATCTTTGGCTGGCTTTGCATCTTCTTTGACATCTTCAACAAATTGTTCCTTTCGTTTTGGATGAAAGGACTTCAAAAAACTGATATCTATGTTGTAAAAATACCTGTATCTGGAACTCACATCCGAGTCAAAGTAACATAGTTCCTGGATTTAGTAAGGTCCATATTTTTCTGGTGGGATATTTGCATCGCTTCCAACGCTTTCGGGTTGGGGCCTGAACCTCTTTTATAGTATGTGATGGTGATATATTGAAGGTATAATAATCCTCAATAATGCTTTCTATAATTGCAGGCAAAAGCTCTTATAACAAAGCTGACTGAAGAGAAAAAGAAAGCAATTCAACAAAATAACAAGCTTCGCCAAGAGCCGGTGAGTCAAACAGACAATGATATATGCCATAGAAATTGTAGTAAATTCGTCGACCCTTTATTTTCCGCTTAACCATCTCTCCGTAATTGCTTCTAGTTATTGAAAATTTCGAGTATTTTGTTTCCCTTTTACATCTGAGACTTCAGCATGATCCTTACTCATCTTTCCATCAAGCCAATATGGTCTTCTTGTTAGTTGCTTATGAAATGCAGTTAAAAACTTTCCATCACCTGATAGATTTGTGCTTTCGATATATTTGTCTCTGACCGGTTCATCATGTTCTGCCGGTCTATACGAGCAATGCGGAATTCTCACAAGTAAAAATCACAAATGTTTAGGAATTGTTGAAGCGCAAAAGCAACAAAAGTGATGGCGGTCTGTTAACAAAATGTTTTGTGTTGTTTGAGCCATTGATAGTTTGATTGTATAGGGTGGT